TCTGCCTCAGGAGCTGGTGTCAGTGAGTGTTCTGGGAGAGCAATTCCCTGGGAAGGAACAAAACCATGAGCAGAGATGGTAATTTGGCTGCCTCCCCCAGTCTCCAATTTTTTCCTTTCAGTTTATTCTGCAAAGGGCTGGCTGTCTCAGGCCAGAGCCTGGAAGGCGAATAACCCGATTTGTGCATGGTGGGTGGCTGAAGGAAAAAAAAAACCTTAAAGCCTTTTTCTGCCACCAGTGGCATAGGATAAAAACTGTCAGTGCTGGGGGAACCAGACCGAAGCAGCCAGAGTGCCAAGTGATAAATACACAGGCCTGAAGTAGGATCTCTGCAGGCTTATTTCTCTTTGGCTTTCCTCATTCTGTACTCATTGCTTTATCTGTTTTTAGCTTTCTCATTTTCCCTCTTCCCTAATGGTTGCCCCTGTGTCGTCAAAAAAAGATCTCTTCTTCGTCTGTTATTCTGGCCTTTGCACAGTTGTTTCTCCTCTCTTACCTTGTCTGGTCCCCCATTGCTCTTTTCTGGATGAAGACTTCAAATCCTCTCTGCAGCTGGCTAGCGTGCCACTGGGAACACAGCTTGAAATCCCAGCAACAGCCAGGCAGCACGTTTTAAACAAGCACTGGAGATAGCTGTAAAGATACGTGGAAGTCTGAGAGGATTTGTGGAAGTTGGTAACGGGCAAAAGGAATTCCCCGCGGGGGAATTTAATGAGCAAGCAAGCCCAGAAAGCAGACTCCTGGTATATGGCAAAGCATGTAAATTTGTTGGGGTTTTTCCCCTTGGTTATGTGGCTGCCCCCTCTGTTGTACAGTAGTTTTCAGAACAGTAGGCAGGAGAAGCAACTGTATTTTTATATTTGTTTTTAACAGCTCTAGTGAATATTTTAGGGTCGGGGGCTCAAGCTAGATTCACTGCTTGCTGGAGAGCTCTGGACAGGCTGGGGACCAGAGGGAGCTGCCGTGCTGCCGCCTCCTTCGCTGCAGCACTGTGACCGTGGCCCAAGCACCTTGGACGGGAGTAGTGGAGAGCAGCCCCTGCCTGTGAGCCCACAGCCCCTCTCGGTGCCTCCGGCTGTTATTTAATGCTCAATGACTGTCACGAATGCCTGGGAAAAGGGCTGTGTGTGAAATAATGTTTGAAATCTATTTTAAAAAACTGTAAATGTTCTTTTTATTAGATAGCGGAGCTAATTTATCCTGTATTCCCTACTGTAATGCTTTTTTATATTGAAAGGAAATTTTTTTTTTTTTTTTTGGTAATATAAACCAGAACACAAGCCTGAAGCACTCTCTGCACGGTTTTTGTGTGCGTTTCTTAAAAAAAAAAAAATAAAAGAAAGATATTGTGACAGTGAAGTGAAACGGCTTTAATTTTCACTATTTGCTTGGTGTTAAGTACAGTCACTTGCTTACCAGAGGAGAAAGAATAAACTCAGGTACAGCAGCTAAAATGAGGTATAAACTGAAGTGTGCCCTTCTCCCCTGCCCCCCCACCCCAAGTAAAAACCCTTGACCAGAAAGGAGATGCCAGCTTAGGACAGACAGCGCCTCTCCTTTGTCACCAGCTCCATTTGCCAGATAGTGGTTAGATGTAAATAAGGTGATGTAGGGAGTTATGTGACCGATGAGCTTGCTTCACCCTCAAAAGCGAGGGCTCTATGAACACAAGGGTCCATCTCTGGCAGAGAAAGGGGGTCAGCCTTAGCCCTGGCCTGTGCCTGCTCGGAGCACAACCCTCCGGGGAACACACCTCCCAGCCCTGCACAACATTATACAAACACAGGTAATTCCTTGCAGTCTCCCCTGGGAGATGATGTCAGTCCAAGGCCTTTCTCACAATTTAACAGATGAGGAAACTGAGGCCTGGGGAGATGGAGTTTTTTCTCAGCAGATCAGTCGCAGAGCCTGAAGTGATGCCTCAGGCTTTTGATCCCAAATTATATGCTCAACTGCCACCTGCAGCTGTGATGCCAGCACTTCTGTCCTTAGCGACACAGTTCTGTACAAACATTTTGGCATCCTCCTCCCTCTCCCCTATTCATAACAGAGTGATGACACAGTTGGTTTCTGGCAGCACTGCAGATGCTCTGCCTGGGCTCCATCCTCAAGCCACCCTGCGAAACTCCCTCCTTGACTTTACCTGCTACAAATTCAAGTGGGCCTGGCCATGTTTCTCCTGCAGCACCTTGCGGATGAGAAGTGACCGTGCCAGGGACCACAGCCTTTTTGTAGCCATTTGCCCCTTTGTAGCATCCATTTGCCCCTTCTCACTTAGTTGTAGAAGAGGTATAGAGCCCCAGTCCACTTCCATACTTTCTACATGGTCCATTTATAGCAAGATGGAGCAAGAAGCATGAAAATAAAACAACTTCTTTGTCTCTCCCCTTTCGGGAATAGGTACCAAGTAGCATGAGATCTCACTCGCCCAGGCTTTGCTCTATGTTGGAGCAGAAGACACTGACTGGCAAAACTAGAAGTGGCTCACTGTTTTAAGTTTTGCAGAGGCAGCTGATAAGCAGAGGAGCAGCAGAATCTGACCTCACCCGATTTAAAGCTCCTTTGGAAAGCTGTAACTGCTTCCCCACCCTCCCACCTGATTTAACCATCAAGAAGTCTTTGGAGAACTGCTCTCACAGTGCAGTAACTCATTTCTCTCACTGGCTGGATGACATTTTAAGGTACACTAATCAAGCAGCCATCTACAGACACAGAGTCATAACTAAGTTCCTGTGGCCAACACAGATGGGAGGACAGCATTGAAAAAACCTTCCACTTCCTTCTTCTGCAAGATTGCTTTTGCTGTGGTCAGTTTTACTTGTCTTTCCTAGAAACGTAATTTCCCACCCCCCAAAACCAACAATCAGTATACATTCATGTGACACCCCCCCCAAACACAAAGAATCAAGCTTCACGTACCTATACCAACAACTACAGCCAAAGTGCTGCACTGAAGCCATTGCAGCTGCCCATGCAGGTGGTGTGCAGGGTGAGAGCAACAGCCACAGCGTGCCGTGCTCCAGCTCCCCCACACAGCACCGCTCCGTCTAATTCGTGATACTCTCCAGGCTGCACTTGATCGTCTCCTGCCTCACAGGGAAAAGGTTTCCCTCTTAGAGCCCAACTCTTCCACCTGAACAGGAAAGCTCCTCTTAAAATATGTTTTAGTTGCTCAGGATCATATTTTGGACGTGTTGAAAGCAGCTTGGCAGGCACGTGTTGTTGGGAGGCTCCAGCATTTTGCCTGCTGTTGGATGTTGCCTCTCCCTTCGATTTACTTCTTAGGGGGGGGAAAAAAAAGTTACAGTTGTGATCTTTCCTGGTTCAACTACTTCCAATAGACCTGACAGACATTTTGCATGGCCAGTAGGTACAATGCACACAGTGTCCCAAATTTATGCAGCTGCTTCTAAATGCCAAAAGCACTAACACAACATGCAGTAACTACCCACTACCTTCTCCTAACTCTACTAAGATATTAAACAGCAATAGCCGTAGATCCCAGTCTCACCAGTGGCTTGAGGGCTGTTGTTCTGTTGTTCACACAAGCACTTCTGTTTGCGTAGGCATCTTTCTACTGGGATTTTGGGACGTCAGGTCTAGTCCAGGGCACACTTTGAGCCAGTCACCAGTAGCGCGTGAGTACGCAGATCATATTCTGTATACAGACCTTCTGGCTTTAGTCCCATGGAGAACAAAAAATGCCACCTCCAGCTGTGGACAGGGATAATCCGCACGGAAAGCGCTAGGAAGTAGGGCAGCCAATGCTGGTAAGCCCAGGAGGCATTGGAGAAACTGGCCAGTGAGTACTAAAGCACATTTAGTCCTTCCTTGACTGAACTAGAGAAGGCAACGATGCCTTCATACACCCTGCTCCTTGCTGTTCTTCATCCCAGTTAAGTATCTTAATGCTACAAACTTTGGTTCTCTCTTCTCAAAGTCAGAAGAGCCATGATGCCTGCACATGAGTAGAGGTGGAACACCATCTCCCTCAGCTGGGGCTCATCTCTAGAGGCTGCTCACTGACCCAAGCAGCTGTGCTGATACTCGTTCTGCTCTCACTCGCACTAACCACAGCAGCGCTGCAGCCCCTGCTCAACTAAAGCGTCAGGCGCTACCTCACACCCACCACTGCTGCTGCATCAGTAAAGCTGCAACTGGAGGAAGTGTTCTGGTGTGAAGGGACAGGACCCCAGCCTAGAAACTTCACAAAAGATCCCAAGCAAGGGCAAGGGGGACGCCTTTGTGCTCAGCGGGCTTTTTCCAATAGTTTCCTTCGCTTCTCACGTATTGTAGTTCAAGCTGCTCTGCTGTTCCCATTGCTGTCCCTGCGAAGGGAACAAGCAAGAAGCCTCCCTCTTCCTTTGCTCTATCTCCTGCCAAGCTTTGCACAACACCCGGTGCAAAACTACAAGCAGGGTGGCACCTCTGGCAGCGAGGAAAAAAGAGCCATTTGCAAAGCACTGGACTAGACCTAGCCCTGTCCAGCTCCCAGTTACCTGGACCGTCAGTACTTGCTAAAAGGGGAAGGAGCTGTACAGGAGGGCACGCTCCACCAGGCAGCTGCACAGCTTGCCAAGGGGAGTAGCCGAGTCCTTTGCCCTGTCTCCTCAGGGATTTGGTTTCAATGTGCTGGTCTTATTTTGTGCTTTGTTCCAGCGGGTTCAGAGCCTGTGATCCCATCGGCCAGTTCCCCCCCGGGAAACCGGCTCTTTTCCCTGAGCCTGCCAGGCCTGCACACCTCCCTGAGCCTTCCTCCCACTGCTCCTCGCCTCCTGCAGAGGGGCTGGGGGGGTTCTGCCCCACGCTGCCCCCCCCCCCCATTTCACCTGGCAATGCCACCAGCACTGGGTTACACACTGATTCATGCCGGTAAGTGAAAAAGAAGGAAACCACTTTAGAACCAAAAGGGACTAACAAAAAAAAAAGTTATAATTATAATGCAAAATTACCGACACAAACCCCCCCTCCCACCCTTCCCATGACAAAAAGCCCAGGAATTAAACTTTCTTGGGACGGCGTCCAACTTGGTAATAATAATAAACGCTGATGAGGACGAAGAGGGCTCGGCTGACCAGGAGGAGCACGGCACCTGTGGCTATCTGGCTACTCTCAACCAGGGAGACAGTGGTAACTGGAGGAGAAGGAGGAAGACAAGGAAGAGGTTGGTGATGAAAAAACAAACAGAGACAAGCAGCACAAAGCAGTTTTCTACTGCCCTCTAACGCAGCTTCCTAGCGAGACCCACCGAGCCCTGCGAACGCAGAAGCTATCACCACAGGCTCACACGCGCAGTGAACCCATGGCAGAGGCTCTTCACTAGCTTGGTTTCACAGCCTTGAAGTTACAGAAACCCTGCTTTAAAGGCAGCCCCATGCTCAGGCAACCACAGCCTGAAATGGTCACTCGAGCAGATGCGAGTTTCTGTCGTGCTCAGGTGTTAGTTGTGGAAGCTGCACCTTCCTGAGTTTGCTTTGCGGTTTGACCTCTTCAGGGCTGATAAACATTTTTCGACTTTAGAAGCATCTACAAAATACACACAGTCCACATACATTACCTCTTTCAGAGCATCTCTTTTTTGGCTACTAACACATAGCCCATATCTAAACCAGCTACCTTGTAATACCATTAGTGAGCTACCAAGATACATATACAAAAACCCCCTTCGTTGTTAAATATAGACAAGCTCTCTAGAAACAAGCTGAAGTGTTATTCTCTGTTTTGGTAAGACCGAACATCCCTCTTTTTAGTGTAGGTTTCTTTTCTTGTTAGCCTCAGCACCTAGGCAGCCCGCTCCAGAAAATGACCTGTGCTGACTATGAAGGCCAAGATGTTTTTAGGGAGAAAAACAAATAAATCGTCAGAGGAAGATGTTTCCCCTGCCCCTGGGCACCCTTTGGTGAGCAGCCCAAGGCAGACGCTACTCCGTGGGGAAGGAAAAGGGAGGGCAGCTGGCAGGGAAGATGCTCCTAGGGCCAGGTTATCTTTGCCAGTCCCGCAGAGCAAAGGAGCTGTCTCCAGCAGAAGCCAGACGCAGCACGGGGACAGCTGGGGGTCGGGTACCCCCGTGACTGTGCCAGCCGGGCGGCAGAGCCAGCATCCCCCTATCAGCTGAGTCCAATACGACTCCCAGAGCCTCACCCCACAACTCCTTCAACCTAGAGTTTACTCCACCGGACCCAAAGGCGCTGCTCCAATCTTGCCTTCAGTCCCACCGCCCATGCCGGTTTTCCTGCCCACCTCCGCTTCTCCTTTCCCCCCTGCTCGGGGAGGGTACGCAGCGTGCACCCCCATCCTCTGCGTCCTCCTCCCTACTGGGTGGCTGCAGCTACTCACCCAGGAACTGCACGGCAAAGTAGCACGCCTCCGTCAGCAGGGTCCAGCGGATAATGACTTTTTCGGCCGTGTAGAGAGCGTTCCACATGATGAGCGAGATACCTGCGGAGGGACAGCAAAGCCCAGCTGCCCAAGGCGGGGGGATCACTGGGAAGGGGCAGCCCACCCAGCTGCTCCCCACACGATGTCAGCCTCCCACGGGATGACAGAGGGAAGCAGCTC